ATTAATTAATAAAATTGTTTGCCAGTTGGCTAACAATACAATCAAGAGCTAAATCAAAAGTACTCCTATGATCTCAGAGAAAAACGTGTGCTCTAGCAAGTGCATGAGCTATACGATTCGCAGATCGTCTATGAAAAGAAACACTATAAGTATTCTTTGTTGTCAAAATTTCTCTAATATCGTCCAAAATAAGATCCAGATAAGACGAACCTCCCTTTTGTTGAACGCCCTGAACAATTGAAAGTGCATCTGTCTCGAACACCACTCTCTGCCAGCCAGCTGTGATCGCCTCCTGAAGAGCATCCCTCAACCCACTCGCTTCTGTTTCCGCCCGGGACCATCCTGCACTGGTAGAAACTCCTCCCGCCCTAATGAAATCCCCCTGCTCGGCCCTCGCCACTGATGTGTGTTTTCTCGCACTTAAAAAGATTGTAATATAGTGGTGTAAGTACGAGTATCGTCTCCACAGGGACGGACAACAGGGAATTAAAGATTAACTAAATTTAGCGATTAAAAAGAAATAAATAAAATAAAATGCAATTGTGCGAGATTGGTTGATTGAATTAAAATTAAAACTAATGCAGATGAGCGATTAAAATAAATGTGGTTTTCTTATTAATTAACGACGAAGGGAACATGGATTGATTCCGGGGTAACCAGATTTCTGGCAGATCAGGCCTAATTACATGAATTTAATTTAATTGAGCCTAGCTAATCATTACTAAGTTCTTACCGCTCTCGCGGCGTAGAGTACAATAATTTAGGGGACCAGGCTGATCTCTCATGCGACAGGATCCTAAATTATTGCCAAAACGAGCGAGCTTACGGCCCCTTAATCGCTACTAATCTCTTAGCGAACGATTAAGTGTGTGTGAATGTGTCCTAGAACAAATTAGATCTCTCTTAATTTATTCTACATGCAATTGTAATTCTAGCTGCAGTCTAGGTTACAAAAGATATCAATTAAATTATTCAAACACAAATTAAACGGCATTCATGCAATTAAACCGACAAGAATCTAGCCATACATCATGATTAACTCCTTCATCAACCCCAAATCCCTAATTAGACTACTCACAATTCATAATTGAAGAATCGACAGAATTGAGATGAATAGAATAAATTGTCATTAATTAAAAAGATGAACTTACAAATAATCTCAGGGTCTTGGAAGAAAAAAAGCGTAAAAACGGTGTTAAATTCGTCCCTAGGCCTCTCCGTAATGTTTGTAACCCCTAAAAAGGGTTAGGGAGGCCTTATTTATAGAAAACAGTAGAATTTGAGCTTAAATAGGACAGATCGGGGCCAGACACGATGCCAGGCACGATCGTGCCTGGGATCGTGCCTGCAGAACGAACGTGCGTGTTGATTGCAGACTCGATCGTGCCTGCCCCGGACACGATCGTGTCTGGCTGGCAGTGTCTCCGCGTCTCCGTCTTCTCCAGGCACGGTCGTGCCTGGTCTTTTCTTCATAATTTTTCTTCGTTTCTTGTTCCAAAAGCTCCCGAATGCCTACGAGGTCAATTCAAATGCTCTTTCTTCATCAAATTTTCGTCGTGAATCTCCCGGTGACCTCCAAATCTCTCAAATCTTCCTTGAATGCCTTCAAATCCTTCCCGAATGCCTAGCGCCGATTGCCGGACTCTAACTTCTTCAATATCAACTCCAATTGCAACAAAACTCGATCCAACGCCTGCTAAACACAACTTGAGCCAAAATTGAGACTTGCAACGCCTTAAAACTAGGAAAACCATCAAAATCCGACCTGAACACGCATCAAATGCGTGTCTAAATACGGACTTATCAGCCACCCAACCCCAGGCCCTCTTGTCACTATTTGGGTTAATAGCAGCATCAACATTAATTTTAATAAAACCCCTCCCCAGTCTACGCCATACCTGCGCGTGCTCACTGTCAGGCTTTTTCTTTGACTTTGCCCCTGACTCTTGAGCCACCTTCCAATTATTTATCATGCTCAACGCGCTACTGATGACTCCTGTCGAAACTTGCCACTCGTTTTTCCAAACCAGAGCATTGCGCCGCTTCCATATACCCCAAAACAGAGCCACAAACTTTCCTTTTTATCTTTGTTAGCATGTATGAGTTGATGTTTAATCCAATCCTGCACTTGAGTCACTCCACTAGCCCGACTAACCCCCGCTTGCTGCCAAACCTCCTGCGCATAACCGCACTCCCAGAAAGTGTGTTCGAGATTTTCGAACCCTCCAATGCAAAGATGACAATTCTCGCTAATCTGCACACCTTTCTTCCTTAGGTTATCCACTATAGGAAGCGTTCCATCCAGCACCTGCCAAATAAAATATTTAAATTTAGGAGGTACCTCAAGTGCCCACAAGTTAGCCCAAACATTTGCTTCTCTGGACGGTACTGTATTGACCAATTTCCTGTAGCAAATTTTAACAGAAAAATTCCCATTTTCTCCCCTGTCCACCAGTGACCATCATCTCTGTCCACTTTGCTAATCGGTATGCTTAAAATTAGATCCCTATCCACCGCCTCAAAAATAGAATGAATCCTCTCTCTATTCCATTCCTTCCCCGTATGGTTCCTCAAAGCTGCCACATTCATATCTCGGACTCCAGGGGGTTTAGCTGACTGGATCCGCCCCGTTCCTTGTCCCGGCAACCATGCGTCTGCCCAAACCTGCACATCTCTACCATGCCCCACTCGTCTACGAGAATTATTCCTCAAGATTTCTTGAGTCTAAAAAAAACTCCTCCAAACAAAAGAAGGATTATTCCCCAATTTAGCATTTAAAAAGTCCGTGTTTGGAAAATACCTTGCTTTCAGAACCCTGCTCATTAAACTTATCGGCTCTGTTATTAACCGCCATCCCTGTTTGGCGAGCATTGCCAAATTAAATTCCATGATCCTGCGAAATCCCAAGCCCCCTTCTCTCTTTGGCCGACACAGGAGCTCCCACCTACGCCATCGAATCCCCTTTTGGTCAAATTTATTACCTTTCCACCAGAAGCCATTTAACAATTTTTCAATCTCGTCGCATAAATCTTTAGATAGTAGAAAAACATTCATCGCATAATTAGGAAGCGCCTGTAAAACATTCCGAATAAGAACCGCCCTGCCTACTCTGGAAAGAAATTTATTGTTCCAATTCTTTATTCTACTCACAATGCGGTCCCTCAAGTAGCTCAGGATGGCTGATTTATTTCTCCCCACAAGCGTTGGCAGCCCCAAGTAACGACTCTGACCGCTCTCCCGGGGAATATTGAAGAACTGACAACACGAATCACGAGTGGCCTCTTCCACATTCTGGCTAAAAGTCAAAGAAGATTTAGTGTAATTTATAGCCTGTCCAGAAGCCTTCTCATAATCCTGCAAGATTCTTTTTATCACAGAGCATTCAGCATAATTAGCTTTAAAGAAAAGGAAGCTCTCATCCGCGAATAAAAGATGGGAGATTTTGGGTGCTCCACGGCACACTGCCACTCCATGGACCTCGCCTTTAGCTTCCGCTCTTCGAATCAGCGAACTCAGTCCCTCTGCAACCAAAATAAAAAGATAGGGTGAGAGGGGGTCCCCCTGCCGAAGGCCCCTCTCCGGAATAATAGGACCCAAGAAATCCTTGTCAAACTGAATAAAATATTTGACCGTTGACACACACTCCATAACCAAATGCGTCCACCGACCATCAAAGCCAAGCGTTGTTAGAGCAGCCTCCAACACTGAAAGTGTTAAGATAGCCATTTTTTACTACTCAACAAAAAACCTAAAAAAGATTTAAGAGTTGTTAGGAAGATAACTATATGTAAGCAGAAGTTAAATTTTCGCTCAAGGTAATTAAAGTGTAACAATTTGATTAACACTTTTAAATTATGAATTATATATACGAGAATATATGAACATACAAAATTGTAATTTAGTCATTTTATCAAAGATGTTTACTTTTCATTAAGACAATTTTTATGTATATTTAAAGCTTCTTATTCAACTTTGGACATGGCCTCCAAATGTCACTATGTCAGGAATGATCAGAACATAAGTGCAAACAAAAACCAGGTTTTTTATTAGGTAGATTCTATGGTACCCATAAGGTACCATACCTTTGTTCACATGGATCAATGAGAATGTAACAGTTGAATTCTGTAAATCTAAATTTAAAATGATAAAATAGTGTGGTCCAATCAAATGAATGGTATGTACGGTACCCCATTTTTTTAAAAGCTACCGGAGTTGTCACCTTTTTATTATCAATGTTTGCACCACTATTTGGACGTGTACCCCACTGTTTGATTTTATGCCAAACCCAAGGCTTGATGTAAAAAAGAAAAATACTACTCCATCCCTCCCTGTTTTTTTCTCCTGTTTTGACCTGACACGGGGATTAAGATAGTGGATTTTGTGTGATGGAAAGTTATAAAGAGGAGAGAAAAGTGTCTAAGAATTGTTGTGAACATCAATTCTTTGCCAAAAAAGAGAAAGATAAGATAATTTTGGGACAGACGAAAAAAGAAAGTTTGAAGATAATTCAGGGACGGAGGGAGTACGTAATAAAAAGTTGAATTGAGAAATTTAGTATTGAGAGAAAGTATATTAAAAGTGTAATGTTTATTATTAATCAAAGATGTCAAGTGATAGCTGAGTTATTGTTCCCATTAGGCCCATGATGTCTTTGCCATAGATAACCCTCTTATTAGGACAATATTATTAGTCCTAAAGTAGTCCAAATCACAAATTTCAATCACTTGTGCGGCAACTTCCAGACAAAATTTAAAACCTTTTGAGCAACATATATATCCAAACAGAAAGCAGAGAGCCCACAATTGCAATTACTAAAAAGTTGAGGGGTCCTAGGAAAATGAACTGATAATGAAGCATAAAAATTGGACAAAAATCTAAAATAGCTAGCTAGCTAGAAGCTAAACTTAATAATTACGTGAGTGACTTGAGACTCACGCAGCACCCTTTCCGCAGTGTACCTATAAAACGCCCTCTTTCATGCTTTCTGATCAATCATTATACTTTACTCATTCCCTTGTCTGCATGAGAATGGAAAACTTTGAAGCCGCAAGAAAGGAAACCTTCCCTTCAGCTGTTCCTCATCAACTTCAAAAACCAGCAGAAAAAGAATTCATACAAGAAGATGATGGATCTATTAAGGGCCCTGATGACTTTTCATGGCTCCCTCCAGGTTTCAGGTTTCACCCCACTGATGAAGAGATCATCTTGCACTACCTTACCCAGAAGGTCCTTCACAATGGTTTTGTTGCAGAAGCCATAGGTGAAGCTGATCTTAATAAGTGGGAACCCTGGGATTTACCTAGTATGCCTTTTCCATCTTCAATTTTATATTCTTTCTTTAGCTTTTCTTAAATGCTCAGCAATACATTATGTCCCTAGCTATATAACGCATTTAAGCAACATATATATATATATATGTGTGTGTGTGTGTGTATATGTATTATATACATGCATATACATGTACAGCTCGAAGAAATACTAGGGACTAGGGTGGGCTGGTGCAAAAAAATATGTGTAGTATATAGTTTGCGAAATCTATTGCATAAAGATCATGTTTCTATGCATAAAGTAGAGAGCTTTTTACCAAATTTGGGGTGGGTCAGGTTCAAAAGGACCGTTAACTGCCCAATGCATATACAACAATTCTTGATGTACACAATTTTACTGTTTACACATTTTTACGCATACCTATGAAGGTATTTTTTGTGTGTGCATACACTGTTCATGGACAAACATGTTTTGTCTCTGAACAGTGTATTCACAAACAAACAAAAAAATTCACAAGAATGTGTAAAAGTGTGTAAGTAGTAAAAATGTGTACAAACGGGTTTTTTCATGCATATATGTATGAGTACTTTTAAATGTTGATTTGTGTCTGTTTTGAGCAGAGATAGCAAAATGGGGAGAGAGGCAATGGTGGTTCTTCTCCAGAAGAGACAGGAAGTACCCGATGGGAACGAGGACGAACAGGGCGACGGGTGCGGGTTACTGGAAGGCCACCGGGAAAGATACAGAGATCTTCATGGGAAGGGGTAATAAGCGCCTGGTTGGAATGAAAAAGACCCTAGTTTTTTACAGAGGTAGAGTTCCTAATGCAGTGAAAACTAACTGGATCATGCGTGAGTATAGACTTGAAGGCCCCCCAAAATCATCATCAAATAGGGTGAGATATTTTAATCATTATTGATTAATTAATATATTTTTTTATATCTTTTTCTATGATTTCATATGATACTTTGTTTGGTTTGAAAATGCAATACAATTTTTATGTGCAACTACTTGCATCTTGATTAATAGATAAGATTCGGGTTAATTTCATGATAAACCTAATAGAAGAAGTAGCTAAATTAATATTTGATATCTAAGCTAGTGATACACGTTCGTGTGTACGAGTGATATGATCTCTTTTCTATATTTTCCTCTCTCTTTTTCTTTTATCGTTTATCTTCATTATCTCTTTATGTTCTTATGTTTTTTTATCTTCTACGAAGTATCATTTTATGCTCTTTTATTATTTATTTTTGTTATATTCTTGTGTTATTTTTATCTTATATGTATCTTTATTTTATTCATTCTATCTTACTTTTTTCCTTTATATTTCTTCTCTTTTTGCACTAATAGCATGAATCGATTCATTTTAACCGACCCCAAATTCTTTTGGATTAAGGCTTGGATGTTGTTGATGTATACAAGTGATACGTATTAAATAGATCTTGAACATCCTTTTGATATGAAGTATAAAATCCTTTTCACTTTGGTCTTAAATAAATTTATAATCAAAGAATTTCATTTTAAATAAATAAATTTCTCTTTTTTCATTGAAAGCTAGCACTCGTTCTTTCTAGTTTTTTTCCCTAGTTACATTGTCATTTTAAAATATATATATTCATAATGATTTTATATTGGGAATTTGATGTACAGGAGGATTGGGTGGTGTGCAAAGTATTCTACAAGAGCATTGCAGGAGTTGGAGCAGGAGGACTCCATATGGAAAACAATGATCAGACTGATTATTCATTCGTGGACAGCTTAATCACGATTCCAACATCACCACCACCACCGCTTGAAGCTCCGGCGACGGACTACTTCCATGTTCCGGCAAGAGGTAGTGATGGCTCATCCTCTTCATCAACTCATTTACTTCCTAATATCGGCAGTTCCAACCAAGACCACTTCAAATCTAACCAACATATGATAGTGCCATCATATGACTACGTACTTAAGTGGTAGCCAGGGTCATGCCTTGGGACGACAATCCAATTTTCGTCCCGAGACAGATTACACTTTCCTTCCTTTAAACAATAACCCCACGAGTCACGACAACCCAAACAATCCCGCGTTCGCGCACTCGAAGCCGCCACCTCAGGTGGCAGCACGTCCAATGTTGCGAGTGGAAGGATTTTCGGTCAACAAAGTCATCAATACTTCCTCTCAGGAGACAATGGAGTTAAGCCCCAAGGTGGCTGCCACTACGGAAACAACCTCGGGGTCATCGGAGTCGAACCAGACCACCGAGGTTCAGAGCAGCCAGCTGGCGACATTTGAGCCCGACCTCCATGGGGATCTAGCTTATTATCATGGTGGTGATGGCAACATGGATGTTGAAGGTATTGATCATTACGTACTCCATTTGGGACTACTAGTTGATCCATCATCAAAAGAAACAGGAAGAATTGAAGGAGAGCAAATATATACGTACTAATCTTTGAACACAAATAAGTCTATGGTAACTTACATTATCTTAATTCAGATGTATTGTGTATTATACGTGATTTCATCCATATGTGTAAGCATTAGGCATATATACCAGCTAGCACGTTATGCTTGATTAATTAATAACGTTACATGTATAGGATTGCACGAAATACTTCGTATTAGTTATTTAATTTGTTCATTTCCTTTGTTTGTATCTTGCCGACATACATGTATAATACATTTGTATAATTAAATTAAAGAATCCTTGTTATTTTATACTCCGTAATTAATACGTAGTATAACTAATAGCTTAACATATAGATCGAAAGGAACCCCAGTTGTTTAATCATAATTAATCCCAGTTGTTTAATCTGATCTGCTGGTTGAATTGGAATTATGCTTTTGTATTCTATATTTCACTTTTGATCCATGAATCATTAAGAGTCATCCACTTGAAAAATCTTGAGAAATGAATAGAAAGGAAAAATTGAAGGAAAGAAATCTAACTGTTAAGGAAAAATTGGATCATACTCAATAATTAATCTTGATATATACATACATCATGATTTCTTAAAAATTGTCGTTTTACTTTCATGTTTTTCTATATTTTAATTTCCCCCCAATGTATCAGATCAGAGAGTAGCGATAGTAAAATACTAAAATACGGAGAATAAAAGTAAAAATGAAGATCAAATTAAAGCTTAACATGCATGTTTATCCAAATATTTGAGAGGCTGTGTTTTACCGTGTTCAACGTAACGTTGCAAATTAAAGCAGATAAAACATGTAACGCAAATTAATTAAAGCAAATTAAAACATGTAGACACGATCAGGTGCAAATACAAACTTTTCCTTAAAATTATTACTAGAAGAACTAACAAATCTATACACATTATATATGTGTGTGTGAAAAGTGTTAATTTTTTCTCCATTCCTTTGCACTTTCGGATAAGAAATAACCTTTTTAAATTAGTTTTTATATTATTCTTTGTTGTGGCTTCCCTAGAATATTCGAGCAACTAAACAATTAAACATACCATTAATGTGAAAAAGAGGAGAGAAACGAGTAAATCAATACTAGTTCTTACTTTATGATCAATGCAATTTCTAAACTTTGGGTTTAATAAATTTGTAACTAAAATTCAATAAGAAGTATAATTTTATTCATCGGCCGTCTCTAGGGTTAATCCCTAGGTGTTACTTCCGGCGGTGGGTAAACTTCTGGTTTAATAAATTTGTAAAATTCAATAAGTATAATTTTACTCAACGGTCGTCTCTAGAGTTGATCCCTAGGTGTTTCTTCCGGGGGTGACGGCAATCACGTGGTCCGGTCATCCTTCTTCTTGTAAAGCGAGTAATCTAGGAGCATATTTCAACGGCGCAGGTGAGTTCCGAAGGTAGCAGCTTGACAGTCTGGGCTTTGGTCGAGTAAACAGGTAGTGGTGGGCCTAGGTTTTTTGCTAATTCACGACGCACAACCTGGAGCAGCGAGTTTCTGAACATCGCTAGGGGCGCAAATCGGTAGGGTTGTGTGCGGACTCGATTACCAATCGATGAAGGCAGCTTCGAAGCCACCAATCGAGAACAAGGTGATAGCAGGAGCAAACAGGAGGGCTAATCGGGAAGGGTAGATGCTCCGTCGGAGATGGCTGGGCAGTGAGCACGACGGATGGGAGCTCGGGCAAGAGGAATCTACTCTGATTGGTTGATGCTTCGATCCACTCCACGTCAACAATCATAGCGGTGATCTGGTCTCCTCCTGAACCACCGCCAGGGGTTGAACGAGGTGCTAGGGTTCAAGAATTTTATTTTTGCTTCTTTAGATTTTTCATGTTTTGTTTTTATTTGGATCTTTACTTTGTTTTGGTTGTGTCGTGTTTTTCCGGCAGGAAAACTCTAGAACCTAGGAAAGGTGATGAGGAGTCTGGTTTGCAAGTCATTGCTCAATTAAGCTCAAAGCAGGATCAGCGAATCTAATTACTTCTACGGAGGTGATTGATTCTAAGTCTGGTTCTAGAGCGGACAACAAACAAAAGGTTTGTTTTCATTTTATAACTTGCTTATGTTCTGTTATCATAATTTAAGCACCTTCTTTCAAAAAAGACTGGTTCCTACCTAAAGTTACAGACTAATACTATTGTTTAATTTATTAAACAGTTGATATATTATGATATTGTGTTGCTTTTTACAAAACAACTCCAAAGTCATAACATCAGTTACTATTAACACGTCACATCATTCACATTCATGTTACAAAGCTAAGGAAATTTATCTAGGACTAGAAAGAAGTTGGTTGTGTTCTTGTGAATGTGAATGTGCGTATATACGTAGTACTACGTATATATGATGTTAAATATGGTGCGGGAATTAAACAAGGTTGTTACGTGCATGTTTTATTCGGTAACATGAATGTAAAAAACGATCAAAAAATTCATTGAAAACAAAAAAGAAAAAGAAAAATATATTTAACTAGGATGATTAATACTACTCGTACAATTATCCCCCTACTTTTAATAATTATAGGGAAAATTGTCAAATAGGTTCCTGCACTTTTACGTCAATTGAGTCTTCCAATTTTTTCGTGAATCAATTGAGTCCATGAAGTATTGAAAAACGATCAAATCTGCTATTTTGTAGGTCATAAGCAAGTTTCCAGGTTGGTGCCTACGTGGAAGCCTAGTTGGTTGATATTAACTTTTTGGTGACAACTCCGGTACCCTTCTAAAAAATGGGGTACCATACCTACTATTAATTTGATTGGACCACGCCACTTTATCTTTTTTAATTTAGATTTAAATAATTCAGTTGTTATATTTTCATTGGTCCATGTGGACAAAGGTATGGTACCTTATGGGTACCATAGAATCTACCTAACTTTTTTACTTTTTTTTTCTTACCTTTTTTCTTTTCTTTCTTTTTTCTTTTTCTCTTTCTCCTTTCTTTTTCTTTCCCAGACCCGTTCTTCTCCCCCATTTACCCGTTCTTCTTCCCCTCATGTCTGCATTTTGTTTCTTTCTCCTGCCAAATTCACTCCTTTCCCTTGTTTCAGCCTTTCAGGTTTCCATCGGGAACACAGAAGGGGCTGTGAGGCACTGAGGCTGTAGCTATGGAGGTAGGGTGGTGCCGCAAAGGAGGTGGTGGTATGGAGGCAGGGGCGGCGGCGACGGTGGCAAGTGGGGGTCAAGGTAGGGGCAGCGGAGGATGTGGTACGGAGGCAGGGTTGGCCGGACGGCTGTGGGTATGGAGTTAGGGGCGGCCGGGCGGCGGAAACGGTGGCCGGTGGGTATGATTGTATGAAGGTAGGGCCGGCGGCCGGCGGCCGGCGGAGGTGGTGGTATGGGGCAGGGTTGTCCAGGGCAAAGATGGTGAGTATAGAGGTAGGTGCGGCGGAGGTGGTGGGTACGGATGCATGATTGGCAGAAATTGAGAGGTAGTGGTATGGTGGAGGCCTGAAATCTTTCGCCGGAGAAAGAAACGCAGAGGGGGGGAGAAGAAGAACGACGGTCTGGGAGAGATCGAAGGAAAGAAAGAGAAGAAAAAGAAAAGAAAATTTTCAAAACAATAGAAAAATTAAAATTAAAAAAGGGAGGTAAGCATTATATTCATTTAGGTTGTTAACTAGAAAACCAGATGATGACTTACAAAATACCGAGTAGGAGATTTGGTCTTTTTTCAATACTTCATGGATTCAATGATTCACGAAAAACATCCAGGATCCAATTGACTTTTTACGTAAAAATACAAGGATGTATTTGACAATTTTCCCATAATTATACGTAGTACTCCCTCCGTCCCACTTTAAGGTTCCCACACGATTTACGATGTTTGACTGACCATAAAGTTAACTGATCCCTGTCATTAATAGATTATTTTTAATAAATAAAATTTACATAGAGAAATGGTCTAACATCTATGTTGTAAGACGCGAACCGGACCGGCCGGTTCGACCCGGAACCCGGTCACCCGGCCTTGTGTCCGGTCCGGTTGAGCATCCAACCGGAAACATGGCCAAAACCGGATTTAACCGGTGACCCGTTTAAACCCATTACGGACCCGGACCGCCCCAAACCCGGAAAAATAATTAAAACCCGGAGATAACTACGCCCACGGGATTCGAACTCGCGCCATGCGCTGTGATTTAAAGACCATCGACCAACCTGCTACACTAGGTAGTTGTTGTTTTAGGTTGTTTTGGTATACTTATAGCTTATTTTACAGGAATATTTTAATTGAGCTTAAATAATTTGCTTATTAATTAATTAATTTATAATAAAAACTAATAAATACACATAAATGATGTTATTATAGTTCGTATTTATGTATATATTCTTACAACTTTTTTGTAAATATTTTGTAATTGGTATTATGTTCATATTTATTATCCATCTAAATTTCAATGTATTTTAATTTTTTTAAATCAATCTACTTAAATACAATAGTTTTTTTTAGATTGCTTATATTGTATAATTATTATTAAATTAAGAGGGAATATAATTTTTCTATTTAAGAATTAAATCTTTTATATAATTAAAATTAATTATTTGTATTGTTGTTGACCGGGTTTACCGGTCGTTGACCGGGTTGACCCGCCGGGTCCGGGTTGACCCGTGACCCAGTCGTCTGTCCGGGTCACCCTCCGGTCCGGTTTTTACAACATAGTCTAACATAGGAGTGAAACAAGGCCCGTTTACCAAAATAGGAGTTCTTTCTTTTAATGACCTAAATAGGAGTATTTTTAATATACATGGACATATTTACCCCTCTATTCTTTAATTTGAAACGGAACACGTCACATAACAGCAGCCCATCATTTAACTTATCGCATCCATCTCTCTCCTTCACAACGCCCCTTTCTTCATCTCTGTCTTTTTCTTTTCATCTCAACGAAGGCGGCACACCGAAGCTGAAGAAGTTGGGCCGACAGAGCCGCACAGTGACGGAGCCGCTACAAAACCGGTAAAAAATAATTTAATTTTCATAAACTTTCAATATAAAAAGTAAAAGATTAAGAACAATGCACGTTGACCGGAGAATAATGTACGTGAACCTATAAATGGGACGGAGGGAGTATATCTTAACTAGGCAGTACTACATTCATTCTTTTTAGTTTTGACTTTAAAACATTTGTGCATTTAATAACGTATAATATTGTATTCTTTAAACTTCAATGAAGAGAAATTCAACGTGTTATTTAAAATGATTTGTAATACTACGTATATACTACATCCGTCCCGCTAAGATTGTCTCATTTTACCTTTTCGGTCCGTCCCACTAAGATTGTC